GAAAAATGAAGGTCGAGTAAGTGTCCCGCGCAGAGCAGACGCAGAGGTATTAAGGATTAGTCGCAGTTAATCGAGAAATTTGGGACTAAGGGAATTGTAATAGAGATAGCAAACAAGTTTAGTCTTTTTCTCGACTAAATTGTAAAATCACTTGTTTTATTTTAATCACTTGTTGTCAGTATTTATATGTTTGAAAGGGACGAGTTTGCTTTTTCACAGCTTTTGATCATGTGTTTACACACAAAAAAAGTACTTTTTAGAGCAAACTGTTAATGATGAATGCCATACTTGCATGCAAGAGCCAGACCTTGTTAAACCGCTGAAGCCAAGCAGGGCAGAGTCTGGTTGGTGCTGTGATGGGAGACCTTTGCGTGTTCAGAAGTACGCTTTATAAAACCAATGCATTATTATTATTGCGTGTATTTAATTTTCAATTCAATTTTCTGTCATATGCAGGTGATTTGATAGAAATGTTTACTTAATTTAAGGGGGAAAAACTCAGTTGATTGCTAACTTCCTATGTGATCTGAGTTAGCTTATTTGGTCGTTCATGAAATGGTCCATGGCCTTCTTTTTGACCACACATGTTATATATTAAAGCTAAACCACAGATTTTTTAAAAACCAAAATGGTGAGTGTGACACCAAAACTGAGCTAGGCATGGCAAGTGTATTTATATAGCACAGTTTAAACACTCATTGTGCTAAAGAAAACAAGGCACTAAATTCATAAATAATCACAGTACATTCAAAATAGTGCCAACACAATCCTTCAGTTGTCTGCAGAGCTAGAACTGTTTTAACCTGGATTTGAACAGAGTTGATCAGATTTGACGCCTGTCTCACATTTTTAGAAAGACTGTTCCAGATTTTAGCTGCATAAATCAGAAACGGCCATATTTAGGAGTATACTTTTCAATGTAAATCAATTGGAGCAGAGCAAGTAAAAGGGAACGATGTTGTAGAATGTTTAAATAACTCAACCATGTAAGAACCATAAGAACCATCAGCTAACATAATGGCAAGTGAATGAAGTTATAATCAAAAGTCAATTCCTACAGACCTTTTTAACAGAACCCGACTCTGAGTTTCCTGCTGGCCTGAACGTTGAGCCGAGTCCGCAGGTGAACTCCCAGGCTCCACGGGGCTTTGCAGGGCTTTGCAGGGGACAATGCAGGGGACAATGCAGGAGCCGTAATCCCATCATTTGGATTTGGGTCTGGGCACAGCGCACCTCACATACAGGGACCTCACGCGAATGAGCTGAGTCCGAGCGCTGTAAAAAATATGAGGTTATAATTGCTTGAATCGAAAGGTTTTTGATTTGAGTACAATCTGACTGCCTTAAGACAAGACCTACCAATGCGACAAAGCCATTTAGACTTATATCAAGATGTGTTGCTTTATTTTCTCATTCTAAGGTAGACATTTTTTGTAAATATTTTTTGTCCCATTGGCAAATCGTATTTTAAGGCAGTCAGAATGTGTTCAAATTAAGATTCATTTAACCAAATTTAAGCAACTTTTGAATTATTTTTCAGTATTTTTTGCAGTGTGAGAGCATGGTCCCGCCCACAGCTGAAATCAAATACGGGGACAAATTGAAGGATTGTGTGCGCGCTAACAATAGAACGTGTATTTATTTCGCTATTGTACGTGCACTGGCTGTTGATAGAGATGTAGCCATGTGAGGTGGTTATATTAGGTCATTTTGCAGGTTGTACAGAGCCATTGCCCGCCTCTGGCAATGTTTTTACTTTTTTTTTTACTTCATACAAACGAAAGGTTTTGTTTTGTTGGTTTGTGTTTTGTGTTGTGGGGCGACAGTAGCTCAGTTGGTAGAGCATTGGCCTTAAGCCCAGAAGGTTGTGGGTTCAATTCCCACCTCTGCACCTTCTCCACCGACTCCCACTGATGACTGCTGTCGTTGTGTCCTTGGGCAAGACACTTAACCCCACTTTGCCCAAAAGCCCCCACTGAAAGATCAAGGCTATGCTCACACTCAGAGAGCAGCCGTTCTCCTGTGGACTCACCACCTGCAGAGGGTCAGTGAGGGGCTGGTGCTATGAGACTTGGGTGGCATCTCTGACTGCCACCCCCCTGACCCAGAAATGGATTAAAGGGTAGAAAATGGATGGATGGATGGATGGGTTTGTGTTTTTTGTTTGATATTTAAGGCAATTCATGGACATTTATAAACATTTATGGACGTTGGTCATCTGGTCAAGAGTTTATTTTTGTCAATACATTTCCTGTGTTGGATTCTCTGATCTCTTGTTAGCTAATCAACAATGTCCTCCGAGATAACTTCTGTTGTGATTTATGGCTGTACAAAAATAACTTGAATTTAAGTCATACTTTTGGGGGGGGAAAAGGCAAAAACGGCTTAGTTTCATCCAACAAACTGGCGACCCATATGAGAGCCTTCTTCTCTCTGATTGGATAATCTTCTTGAAAATCGAAAACAGAAATAATATGTATTTTTAATTATAATTAACTCTAGTTTAAACTTGTGACCTGTTATCTGGGGACGTTTTTTAATATTGTAAATTGAATTCAAATGTAAATATTATATAATTGTCCCTGTTATAAAAAAAGCATTAACACTATCAACATCTAAAACCGTACGAGTTTATGTGCCAATTTTTCTGTCAGATGCAGATGATTTTTATTTTAAAAAGGGAAAACATCAGCTGATTGCTTACTTCCTAAGTGATCTGAGTAAGCCTATTTAGTCATTAAGTAAATTAATGTGTCTCTGGCCTTGTTTTTGATCATAATATTTAATAGTCAACTTATTATTTGATTGAAATTCTAGCAAAACCTGCCAACAATAAGTAGCTATAGAGTGAATTAGTCAACACTTTTGTATCTATTTTGTTTTTTAAAGCAGAACAACTCTAATAGGTTCCATTCATTTCCATGGCAACATTGTTTTCAAGTGCTTTATTTGCTAAATGTTGAATTTGATGATTATCTGTATTTAGCATTGAGGCTAAACAGTAGGAAAGGCAAGTTTATTTGGATAACATTTGTTTTGTAAAGCGCTTTACAAAACAGCACATATGTAAATGATATTGAACGAACAAATGCAAAACATTGCAGTGAATTTGATAAAAAGCTGGAGAATATCTTAACATTTTCAAACAGACTCCAGATTATTGAGGCATGAATCTGAAGAGTCCCAGCAGGAGGCCAGTCCCTGTACTCCGGTGGAACAGCCATCTTGTTTGGGGATTCCAGTGAAGCAGGTTGTTATGGAAGTATGTGAGAGTGGTTCCCAAAGCGGGGGCGCGGTACACTAAAGTGGGAGTGGCAAAAAGATTTCCAGACGACAAGTGCTGTGTCACATCTCGCCCTGTTCAATACAAACATTATAACAAATTATAAAATATGAGGTAATAAATACTTCATGTGTTTTTAATCTTAATTTGAGAACAAAGCCATTTAGTTTTATTTCAAGAAATGTCGTATTATTTTCCCATTCCAAGTTGAGACATGTCTTGTATATTTTTAAAGCAAGATCATTTTGCTTGTCCCATTGTCAAATCTTGTTTTAAGGCAGTCAACATTAGCTCATTTAAAGATACATTCATTTTTACCAAATTTGAGTAATATTTGACTTTTTAAAATCACTTATTGCAGTGTAAAGTAGCCGTTATTCGTCTAAAAAAAATTACAATAAATATATTAACATCTCATCACAGAACAAGACACATTGCAGAGTTTCATTAAATTTCCCTTTTGTTTTATTAGTAAAACACAAAATGACAACATTTGCCTCGCAGGGTTTTTCAGAGAGAGAGAGATGATCAAACAGATAAACAGTGCAACTATGAAAACAGCAAATAGATATATGTCCCTGGGTATCGGGCGTCCTCACATCCTCCTCCGCAGCCAGCAACAATAGCATATTTGTTTTTAATTGGAGAACTAGATCGAAAAAAGGCCTGTGGTGTACACAAAAAAACAACAATAACACGCTATTCTCCCCGCAATCCACGACAATCATTCCGAGGTGATGAGCGACTCTTTAAGGTGAAGTCAGGTTTTGGTTTAATGTAAGTTTCTTTGGTTTAGTGGAAGCTCCTCAATTCAGTGTATTTTTGTTTAGCCTTAAATCTGAATCTGAAATGACAATAGCAGCAGTTGTTGATCTGTTGCGTCTGCGAAGGTTTTCTCCGGTTTCCCCTGTCACTAAAAACATGAACAACTGGTCTAAATGTAATGAGTGAGTGAATGGTGGTGATTGGGGCTTTTATGTGCCAGTGTGTTCTGCGTCACGCTTCCATTTTTCATCACGTTTTGCAATGTAAAGTCTTGTCCATCTACAGTATATACAGTACAGTCTATTCTATATTGTGATATGAAAAATTCGCTTGCCATATTTGGCCAAAAGAAACCTTTCATTTCTTTCATAAAAAGGTCAATACTGCAGCTGGTCCAACATTCAGCCTTGTATGCAAACCTCACACCCTTGTTAAATTTATTCCTACTGTACATGTTGTTAGTGGTAGGGGAAACTGGAGCACCCGGAGGAAACCTGCGCATATACAGGGAAAACATGCAAACTCCCCTCACAAAGGTTCCTTATGCATTTTTTTGGCCATTCAAAATAATATTTCTTCTATTGTGGATGTGGTTTGGTTTTCTATCACTAGTTTTCACATGTATCGTTGGCCTCTGTCACATCAAGTTCAGTAAATCAAAATGAGTACCAGCCCTTTCTCAGCCAATCAGCTCTCAGGATGCAGACATAAAGGTTTTCTAATAAGATGAATATTACAGATGGATAGACTCTTTTTCAGGTGTCAAGTAGCAGCAGAAACACATCCATCCACACAAACAAAACAAATAAATAGATCATTCTAAAAGTATAACTTAAAATAGTATTAAAATGCAATGCTGTGCTATACAAATTCCTGATACATTTCCTTTCTTTAGCTTAATAAAAGGTCAATACTGGAGCTGATCTGACATTCAGGCCCCGTGCAAACCTCGCTAACCGCTCAAACAAAGAGCCTCCACAACAATGATGTGAGATCTCCAATCAAAGCTCAGGCTGCTGACAATCCCTCTCTCCGTGTTTGCGCGTCTGTGAAGTGACTTTTGATGGTTTTTCCGGCGAACAAAGCGCAGACGATTAGCCGTGTCACAACAATGCGGCTCTGCAGGTGACTCCCCGGAGGCAGGCCTGGCACGGGGCCCGCTGGTGGCCGCCGCAGGGCCTGAACCGGAGACCCAGGTTCACAGGGCACAGTGCTCCGGATGTGTGCCGCAGAGAAACTGAATCCACGTGAGATACAGTTTCTCTGCGGCGAGAAAAGGTGAGCGCGAAAGCCGTAAATGTTGGTATGTGTTTACGATTGTGTTGTAGATGTTGTGTTGTGATAAGGTTGTGTGTGTGTGTGTGTGTGTGATGTGGTGATTTATGTCTGTCAGTCAAATATAATACCAAACACATACGGCAGGTCGCTGTATTCTTTTTGAAAACTGCAAAAAAGTTATGGGAAATTGGTCAAAATAAATCTCAAAATGTATCTTAATTCACGCACATTTTGACTGCCTTCAGCACAAGATTTGCCAAAGAAAAAATAAATGTCATTGTATATATATATATTTTTTTTAAAGCTGGCAGACTTGTATGTTTTAATGTGTTACTTTTATCTGTGCAGCACTTCGGAAACGTGTTTTATAACATGGGCTATATAGATAATAACTAATTTTGAATGGCCAAAAATAAGTGTTGGATTTGGTTTGGTTTTTTATCAGTAGTTTTCACATGTATTATTAGCCCTGTCAAATCTTTTAGATCGAGTTCCGTGACATAAAAATGCATTTCAAAAGAATTTGCTTGTAAAAAAAAAAAATGTTTTCTAATAAGTTTGTCTGTGAAAATTATGTATCAGCTCTCAGTATGTAAAATACATGTTTTGTAATGAGTTTGCCTGATTTGTTCACAAAATTTTAGTTTAACAAGATTTTTTCAGTTGGAAATAACAAACATAGTCATGAAAAAAGATGTAAGAAAATGACTTTTAAGTTTGGGAGCACAAGTTTCATTTGAACAAAATCAGACGCAACTCAAAAACGTATCCCAGCCGATTACAGTCAATTAAACTAAGTTGACTTTATTTTGGTTGCACAACAAAGGTAGTTCCCATAATTGCCTGTGCAAATGCTCTGAGCTGTTTGCACACGGCACAGGTCCCTGCAGGTACACACGAACAAACAAACACACACACACACACACATACACACAATCACGCACAGGCCTGAGGACACAAACGCTTTATGGGAATCCGTGCAGTTCAGCATGCTACGAGCTGCAGCCGTGAGGAGGATCAGAGAGGAACTTTATGAAGACCTGTGACTTCGTGATGCAGTGTGTGGGTCTCAAGAGTTTTACATGAGGGAAAGTTTTGAGGAACAAAAGGTGAATTCTGACACAATTATCTGTGCTTCCTACCCTTTTCTGGCCTTTAATATTGTGCCTAAATCATTAATACAATACACACAGCTCGTGTACTTTTGTGGTGTTCATATTTGACTTTTTTCTGAGTCTATTCTTGGGTTTCAAGACATTGGGCGACATTGGCTCAGTTGGTAGAGCATTGGCCTTTGGGCCTGAAGGTCGTGGGTTCAAGCCCACCGTAAGACCTTCACGACTCCCACTGATGACTGCTGTCGTTGTGTCCTTGGGCAAGACACTTAACCCTACTTTGCCCAAAGCCCCAACTGAAAGATCTCAGCTCCTGTGGACTCACCACCTGCAGGAGGATCAGTGAGGGGCTGGTGCTCTGTGGACTGGGTGCAGCTCTGACTGCCACCCCCCCAACCCAGAAATGGATTAAGGGGAAGAAAATGGATGGATGGATGGATGGATATTCTTGGGTTTCATTAAACTGGCCTGTAGGGGGCGAATGAGCAGAGATGGGACATGATAGGAAAATTAGTTTTGCTCCCATTGAAATCCATGTAAATCGTGTCTGTTTCGGACTCAAAAGGCTCTCATCCTCTGCGGTGTACGATTGTTGTAACAGTTTTAATTGGGAGGGGGACACTCAATTCTAAGGGAGTACTAACAAATAATTCTCAAAAGAGTCTTGATTTTGGGCATTTTTGGAAAAAATAACAGACTAAACTGCTGCGTTTCATTCGGGTGGCCTGCAGGAGGCGCTTTACTAGCAAAACACACCTCGCTCGCCTCATTCGAGTGATTTTTTTCAAAGTGTACTCCTTTATATGAAACCACAGTTGGAACACGGAAAAAACTCTTGTCTTTCTCTCTATTTGCTACAACCATACAGCACACAAAAAGATGGCATTTTGACTGAAGACTGCCAGCAAAGATACTAGCGCTTCTTCTACTATATCTCCGTGTATATACCATGTTATATACCCGGCAGACTACACCGCCAGGGTACGTCACGTCCGGTCCGGTCCTGCCCCAATGTCATATGAAACCCAAGAATATCCCGGTCGGAATAGGGTATGATTGGTAGTATTTATTTTTATTTTTACAGGGACAGTATACGATACACATCAGCCAAATAAGAGAAATGCATTGTACCAGGTTGTAGCAGCAGTGCTAATTTACACCTGTAGTAGATTATGTCTTTTTTTTTTTTTTCTCGATGAAATTATCCCACTTGCCAATTGTAAGTAGTTCTACCTTTAACTCCAAAATGACTGGTCAATTCATTTCAATGAATGCAAGACCGGTTCTGAGCCGACTTGAGCAACTGGTAATTACCATAGCAACACATTGTTACTTGCATTTAATAAAACTCATGGAAAACTAACTCACTTTTCTGGGGGGAGTTCCCTTTATGTGAATGGGAGTCATCAAAACGACTGAGTTCTAGTAGTTTCAGAATTCTGGGAGTTCTCGAGTGGAATAAAAACATTCACACGCCTTCTTTCGGTCGGCCTCAGTACAGTCTCCTCCGCGATGCCTCAGCGGTAAGCCGATGCTCCATGGGGCAGGCCAGTCCCCCCTCCTTCCATACAATAACCCCCTTTGTGTGGCCACCGTACCTTTTAGCCCGGGCAAGACGATCCAGGGCAGCCCCCCGACAGCATGAAAGGCCCTCCGTGTCCCTAACCGAGCGCAACAAAGTGTCTCCAGACCGCTAACAAGAGCCAGGAGCCGCGGCGAGGGGCCGAGGCGGTGAGGGGCCGAGGGGTGGGATGTGGGGATGGATGAGGGCAGGAGCTGACAAAAGGTGAGTATGTTACAGTGGGGCTAACAAGCAGTGTGATTGTAGCAGCTTCAAATGCCAGCGAAGCCAGGCATTGATAGGACAGATAGGTTGGGGGTTAGCCTGAGTATTGTGGGCAAAAGGACAAGTGTTTTACGTACGTTACAACATTGTTCTCTCAGCAATAATGGATACAGAGTTGTTTTTACTTTCATTTTGCCTGTAAGGAAAAACTCGGGGAGGCCCACACTGAGGGAAAGATCTGCTCCCATGGATGGACTTTTACGTTACATATTGGTTATCAGTCTGGTCACCTGCCTCCATCAGGATTTCCATGAAGAGAGCTTGTCGCAGCTGGTCTTGACCGGCCATCGCCTTTTGGTCATGTCCGTTGTCTGTTGTTTTCAGAGTTTGTCACACCTTAGAAATTGAATATAGAATGAATCGAGAAATCAGACTGGATCCCAGGCTACAAACAATTACTCTCTTCTTTCCAAACTCAACTAACTCAAACTCATCCCTTCGAACTGCAGTGGACATATTTCTTTTTCACCTCACTCTACCTCCAGATTCTCTCTCACACTAGAACTAAACCTCTCGGCCTGTGAAAACAAAATTAAATCATAACATGAATTGAAAAACGCCCTGCAGGACTTCTTTCACGCATCTGTGGGCGGCTGCACCTCCTTCTCCTCCCTCCATCGGTCACTTCAAACAGAGGAAAGCTGCCCCTCGAACATGAAAACATGCTTTACACGGGCCTACGAGGGGTCCACATGAAAGGGTTAATGGGTAATGGAGTTCCCTGGGGCTCGGTTTAGAACATGTCTGCGTTGTGTTAATTATAGTTCCCAAAAGTTGAAAGTCAAAAGTCGCTGGTTTCTATCAGTCTCTGAGCTGGAACAAATGGCCCACAGAGGAGCTATTTGTAGAAGGGACCAGGAGTGTGCACGGGGTGGGGGGGGGGGAGAGTGTGCACGTGATGATGGTGTGTGCATGGAAGAGCGTGCGTGTGAGGGACCTTATTGTAAAGCCCAGGCTATTTGTAATTCAGCCATTGTATTTTTTTTAAATTTGAAAATTATACCTAACACTCAGAAATGACCAAAATACTGTATTTTGAATTGTTATGGTACAATGACACATGGACAAGCAGGCAGGCGCTCACAATTTCTTAAAGGAGCTATACATATATACTGTATATAGCGCAACGTCTTGTAAGCTGTACAACCATCACCAATGAAACGGTACAAAAGCAACGCACTGCTAACAAAATGTATAACTGAAAGATTACCGCTAGTTTCACGTCCAATTCTAGTCCGAGGCGGTCCCGAGCCCGCAGGTCTCTCCCATAGACTGTAAGTCTCTCCAGAGGATTCGATATAAACTAGCTACGTTCACCCAGGCCTGATTTCTTTGATCATTTTTTCGCTTTAGTTCCCTCTTCTCTTCCTCACTGTTGTGTCGTTTGGGCTGTTTTGCTGTGTAAGCAGTTACAGCAAGAGGAGTTAACCTCTTTCTGCCTCCAAGCTGCTCTTGTTTACCTGTGCATTAGACGCTGGAGGAGGCAGCCTTGTTCGTATCAGCACCGCTCCTCGTTCAGTGAGTGGAGGAGAACTAGCGTCACACAAGTTTCTACCCAGCACGTTTTACGGCCTGAATTCATACACAAGCTGAATCAATGATCAAGTTTTAAATTAAATTACGGATTTTAATGCAACTTGTTTGTAGTAATAAGCTTTTTTTTTACTCATTAGAAAATAAATCGGGTACAGCATTTTTAAAATAAATGGGCTTTTACAAATACAAGCTTAGATGTTTCTGCATTCTGATTCTGTGGCCATAAAATCGCTAAACATTTGAAAAGTAAAACCTTTTTTTAAAAACTTTAAACAAGTTCATAATAGTGAAGTAAAGCGATCGGCTAGATATTAAACACATCAGCTCTCGGTGTGTCTCAACTTTTTCAATTTCAATCTGACACGTGTCACTATGACGCAAACTCTTTGGGACCATTGATCCAGCCTGAGTTTTATCCCGAGTGAAATTTCCAAGTTTCCAAGTGGGATGTCGGAACTTCCAAGTTTCTGAAATTGCATGAAAGCAGCATGGGCAGAAGGGTCGGAGATACATAGGCTTTTGCCAGTCATTCCTGATATTAGCGTGGATGGATCTTAAATAAATAAATAATAAATAATCCAACTTTGAGGGAACACTGACGAAATTTCCTTTACTATGAGCCTTGGGAGTTCTCGTGACCAATGAATGAAGCAAAGAGAGTAGACAGAGCAGACGTATAGAGCATAATCATGTTGTTCGCAGATCTTCAGATATGAATTTGCTCTCGTTCGTATGACTCTGGGCTCATAAACACTGCCTTATGTCTGTAAAATCCCCGAAAAATCCAGCTAAATGCCCTCATTGTTTTGTCTATCCACTGCGAACGTGATAAACAGTCATTATGGCGACACAGTGATGAGTGTGTGGAGCAGGAGTGATCAGGTGTTTTCCAGGACACATGTGAGTCTGAATGATACTATTGTCACTGAGAGACTTCCTCCTGATGCTGGTCACATGACGCTGATGATGAATTATAGCAGTTTGGGTGATTGGCTTAAGTTATAGTTCATTGAAAGGTAAGGATTAGCAAATAGATTCAGTTTCTATAGAGGCACTTGGTCAGTATTTTATGTTATACTTTATTATCCTCCGTAGGTAGCAATGTCCTCTGTGTTTGACCCATCCTTCCAATGCCACCAGGGCCTCTGTCAGGAGCAGTGGTCTCTGTGGTACAGCGTCCAGGGACCTACCTGCCTTAAGACGCATTTTTACTCTCTGACTTTTAACACCGCGTGAGTTGTGTGGTCCTCTGTTTTATCGGTTTTTATCTATTTTATTTTTTTAAATTTATTTTGGTTTTTAAATTGGATCATTTATTGTTTTTATTACAATTTAAAAGTTTTTACTGCATACATTATGTGTTATTTTAATTTATTTTTCAAACATACAAAGCTGGCAAACCTGTATATTTAAATGTGTTATCTTTTTTCTCTGTGCAGCGCTTAGGAAACTTGTTTAAGATAAGATAAGATAAGATGTGCTTTATTTATCTCACAGAGGAGAAATTTACATGTCACATTTGGCATGGATAGAGACACTCAGATTGTGCAAAAGGAGGAAATGTGCAAACATGTTACATGCAGGATATATGTACAATAAAAGTGACAATAATTATGTACAACAAAAGTGACAAATGTCAATTGGAAACAGTGTCAATAGTAGTGCAGGTTTTCACACAATGATCATTTAAAGTGACTTATTGTACAGTCTGACAGCGGTGGGGATAAAGGCCCTGCGGTAGCGCTCCTTCCTACACTGAGGGTGCCTCAGTCTTCCACTGAAGGAGCTCCTCAGCTCCTCTACAGTCCTGTGCAGTGGGTGGGAGGTATTGTTCATGATGGAGGTGGCTTTGGCTAGCACCCTCCTGTGAAATGTGATGTATGAATAAAGTGGATTGGATTGGATCTCGAATTGTTGATGGCTTAGAATCTTATAAGACAATAGTTTATGTAAGCTAGAACTGCTAGAAGCCAGTTATTAAGCAATACTAGCTTCTTTAATGCCTTAAACATGAAATAAGGCATAATGACCTTTTTACATTCAGATGTTGATGCTCGGCTTGGTCAGGACTGGAGCTGGAGGATTTTGTCAATTTTACATGTTGTTAGTAAACCCAGAGCAAAGTACGATGGGATACCACACCTTACACCTTGTGGCACAAGTCAAATTGAGTCCAGTTATGTACTACTCTGGGAGGTGACTCTGTCCTGCATGGCATTGTCTCAGTCCTCAACCACAGCCCGAGGCCTGGATCTATAGCTCGTTTGTCTGTGGGAGTGGATCCGCCCCTCAATCTCTCACTTTTCCTTGCTGATTCAGGAGGGTCTAAGGACAGTGTTGATGATCCAGGACACTTGACATTCAATCACATTTATGGACATTGCTCATCTGCTCCATATGTTTTTACAATCGCTTTTCTCGTATTGGAACTGTTTGATTCGCTCATCTGTGTTGAATACTCTGTAATAATCTCTTCTCATACAAACGATTGAATGTGGGACCTGGCATTACACTGGGGTCTAACCCAAGAATCAGCCTAGTGACATAGACCAACTTTGACAGCAAAAAGCTTGTTGGTTTGATTCCTGTGTCAGCCCAGGACTTTCTATGCAGAGTCAGCATGTTTCTCGGCATGTCTGGGTTTCAAAGTTCCCTCCAGACTCTACGGTTTTCCCCCACCCCAAAAAACATGCACCATTAAAAGAAACTGTCTTAATTCATTGTACACCCTGAGAATCTTATCTTAAAATCCTCCAGCTCTGGTCCTGATCCAAGAACCTCAACATTTGGAGATAGTCCCCTCTTACTGCTTCTGACAGATGCCCTGGTGGGATTTCAGGATAGGTCAAATTCAGAGGACGACATTCCTTAGAAGAGACAATAAAGTATACCTTATGTAACAACCCGGCCCTGCCTTCTGAGATCAGCCTCTAAAACAAGCAGCCATGGTCATTACTTACTTACCTTTAAGCGCAGTAGCCTCTTCAACCTGTAATTTGATCAAAGATAATTGTGAGTAGAGCAAACAAAAAGACATATTTCAACAGATTCCATCCAGCTCTCGTCTGTTAAGCTCGGCATATTCAGAGGAACCTTGAAATAAGAATAGAGAGACATTGTATGGGCTGGAGAATTCAAATGGCTCTCGTAGCAGTCGGAATATACTGTACACCAGCGTTTGCAAATGTTTCAAATATTTACCTTTTCACAGATGCCATTGGTAAAAAAACCATCTGAATAAATGTCAGTTTATGTGGCCTTTTAACTTACTATAATTGTAAAGCAGAGTTACGACAAATGTGAGTGTTACAAATGTTCCTTCATCAAAAACAGACCTTGAGTTTTCTGCAGTTTCATAACAGAGAAATTTTAAAACACACAATACTTTAATTGTTCAAGGTTTTCTGATTTTGACTGGTTCTCATTTATTACACCTGCATGCGAAAGCTAGATCCTGTCAGACGTCTGAAGCTAAGCAGAGCAGGGCCTGGTTAGTACTGTGATGGGAGACCTCCGGGAACACAAGGTACTACAGTGGGGCGGCTGCGGCTGTAAAGTGCCAAACTGTTGTTGTTTCCACAGGCAAGACACTTTACTGACATTACCGAGAATGAGTCCCACCACCGTGTATGGAGCGAAAAAATAATGAAGCGTCTTTGAGTGTCCAAAAAGCACTATCTACAAAAATAGACATCACTGTATGTACTATAAGCCAAAGGATAAAAATACAACATGGAAAGGTGTGTGTTGCA